TAACTCTCTCTCTCTCTCTCTCTCTCTCTCTCTCTCTCTCTCTCTCTCTCTCTCTCTCTCTCTCTCTCTCTCTCTCTCTCTCTCTCTCTCCTTACTGCGCTATCCTACAGCTGTGGCTCCCTGCACCGTCGCCTATCTTCCTTGCCGGGCTTTTTCTTTTCCTTTTAAGTGGTTGTGTACGCATCCAGGATCTTGGCACACAATAACGCAGCAGCGCTTCCGCATAAGCCAGAATTGAAGAAGAGGAGGTTCCTGGCTGCGGCCTCCCGTTTATGATGCAGGTACCTCCCACTGGCTGGCATCGTTGGTCCTATTGGGCCTTGCCGTGGCCGACAAAGACTTGGACTGTCCCCAGACCCTTCCTGGGACTGAGCTGTGACTCAACCGGAACTTGACACGTGGCTCGATCTCTTACTACTGACTAGTATGGACTTCTGCTGTTCTACGGGCCTTTTCCTATCGGATCTCTATTACTGGAAACTTCTACGTAATGCAAAAGAAATGGGAGGTGATGCCCGGGGCAAGACTGCTGAGGTGTGTGAAACCTTTCACTATTCTCAAAAGAAGCAAAACGATTGAATTTTTATGGTATAAAGTTATAAACCTGTTTAGATGCTCATCATGACCTAGGATCTTTCTCTAGTCGTGGCAAAGAAAAAATCGGAATTGGTGGCGAAGGCATCCAGAATTATAGGCTACAAAAGAACCTCAAGAATGGAAGACCTGTCCTTCCTGACATCTGTTTAAAAACTTAAAATTGGAACGATACAGAGAAGATTATCATGGCTCCTGCACATAATTGAGAGGAATGGAAGATCTCTAGAGATCAATTGCACTGGCCGAAAGCAACCTCTTAGTTCACCCAAGGGAAACTATTTAATATTTATAAGGAGACCACTGAAGGGTCAACAACAACTGCATACCTGGGAAACTTGGAGGATTCAGGAAGCCAAGATGAGAGCAAGAATCAGAGAATGGGAAGAAGGAAAAAGAATGACCGAACTCTTCTTCCAAAATGTTAAGTTCCAGGGCAGAAACTCCGCAATTCTTCAACTAAAAGAGGAAGAAATGATTACAGCACATCCCAATAAAATACTAGCCATAGCAGAATGGTTCTTTAAGAATCTTTGCACCACGGAAACAGATTTCACTACTCCATGTCTGAGAACATTCTTCTTCTTCTTCTTCTTCTTCTTCTTCTTCTTCTTCTTCTTCTTCTTCTTCTTTTTTAAAGCTGTCTTCTCCGCATATGCGGGGGACAGCTGTATATTTATTACTACGCTATTTTAGTATTTTCTTCTCTCAGGATTGTGCCAGCGCCGACGGTAAGCGCTACCGGCTTGCTGCGCTAATGTGCGCTAGCAACCGGCCCTAGCCCGACGGGCGAATCCGCCGGCGGGAGCCCGACCCCGAGCTCGCCTACCCGCAGTTTCCCGCCCAAAATCGCCATCGCGTCCAGCCGAGCTGCGCGCCACACATTCGAACTTCCGAGTCGAGCAGCCAAGCTGCCATCGCCACCGACGAGCCAGGAGCTCGCGCTCCATGCGTGAGAACCCAGACCGATTCAAGAACTTCGAAGTCGAGCAGCCAAGCTGCCATCGCCACCGACGAGCGAGGACCTCGCGCTCCATGTGTGAGATCCCAAACTAATTCAAGGGCGGCCAGGCCGCCATCGTCAGCCACCACCGATGATCTCCGTCTTCCACCCGTACGCGGCCAACGCTCGAAGTTCGAGGGACGGCCACCACATCGCGACATCTTCAGGAGTGCCGACGACCAAGTTCCACCGGCATCACGCACAGGAGAGAGACACCTACAAGACCAAGCAACCAAGTGGAGAAGTCTCACGTAGCCCTCTCCCTCCCCCGCTATCTCCTCCTACGACACATACCCCTTCATCTAACACTCCCCCCCCCC